CTATCAGTGACTGAACTGAAGCTCTTACAGAACATACTCTAACTATCAGTGACTGAACTGAAGCTCTACAGAAACATACTCTAACTATCAGTGACTGAACTGAAGCTCTAAGAAACATACTCTAACTATCAGTTGACTGAACTGAAGCTCTACAGAAACATACTCTAACTATCAGTGACTGAACTGAAGCTCTAACTATCAGTGCTGAACTGAACGCTCTATAGGAAAACATACTCTAACTATCAGTGACTGAACTGAAAGGCTCTAACAGAAACATACTCTAACTATCAGTGACTTGGAAAACTGAAGCTCTATAGAAACATAACTCTAACTATCAAGTGACTGAAGGAAAGCTCTACAGAAACATACCTCTAACTATCAGGACCTGAACTGAAGCTCTACAGAAACATACTCCTTCAACTATCAGTGACTGAACTGAAGCTCTATAGTAGAGAACATACTCTTACTATCAGTGGACCTGAACTGAAGCTCTCATAGAAAACATACTCTAACTATCAGTGACTGAGACTGAACTGAAGCTCTAAAGAAACATACTCTAACTATCAGTGACTGAACTGAAGCTCTACAGAAACATACCTTACTATCAGTGACGGAACTGAAGCTCTATAGAAACTACTCTAACTATCAGTGACTGAACTGAAGCTCTACAGAAACCATACTCTAACTATCAGTGACTGAACTGAAGCTCTAAAGAAACATACTCTAACTATCAGTGACTGAACTGAAGCTCTACAGAAACATACTCTAACTATCAGTGACTGAACTGAAGCTCTACAGAAACATACTCTAACTATCAGTGACTGAAACTGAAGCCTCTATAGAAACATACTCTAACTATCAGTGACTGAACTGAAGCTCTACAGAAACATACTCTAACTATCAGTGACTGAACTGAAGCTCTAAAGAAACATACTCTAACTATCAGTGACTGAACTGAAGCTCTATAGAAACATACTCTAACTATCAGTGACTGAACTGAAGCTCTACAGAAACATACTCTAACTATCAGTGACTGAACTGAAGCTCTACAGAACAGAAACCTACTCTCTAACTACTCAGTGACTGAACTGAAGCTCTAAGGAAACATACTCTACTATCAGTGACTGAACTGAAGCTCTACAGAAACATACTCTACTATCAGTGACTGAACTGAAGCTCTACAGAAACATACTCTAACTATCAGTGACTGAAACTGAAGCTCTACAGAAACATACTCTAACTATCAGTGACTGAACTGAAGCTCTATAGAAACATACTCTAACTATCAGTGACTGAACTGAAGCTCTACAGAAACATACTCTAACTATCAGTGACTGAACTGAAGCTCTATAGAAACATACTCTAACTATCAGTGACTGAACTGAAGCTCTACAGAAACATACTCTAACTATCAGTGACTGAACTGAAGCTCTATAAACATACTCTAACTATCAGTGACTGAACTGAAGCTCTACAGAAACATACTCTAACTATCAGTGACTGAACTGAAGCTCTATAGAAACATACTCTAACTATCAGTGACTGAACTGAAGCTCTACAGAAACATACTCTAACTATCAGTGACTGAACTGAAGCTCTACAGAAACATACTCTAACTATCAGTGACTGAACTGAAGCTCTACAGAAACATACTCTAACTATCAGTGACTGAACTGAAGCTCTATAGAAACATACTCTAACTATCAGTGACTGAACTGAAGCTCTATAGAAACATACTCTAACTATCAGTGACTGAACTGAAGCTCTAATAGAAACATACTCTAACTATCAGTGACTGAACTGAAGCTCTATAGAAACATACTCTAACTATCAGTGACTGAACTGAAGCTCTATAGAAACATACTCTAACTATCAGTGACTGAACTGAAGCTCTACAGAAACATACTCTAACTATCAGTGACTGAACTGAAGCTCTAAAGAAACATACTCTAACTATCAGTGACTGAACTGAAGCTCTATAGAAACATACTCTAACTATCAGTGACTGAACTGAAGCTCTACAGAAACATACTCTAACTATCAGTGACTGAACTGAAGCTCTATAGAAACATACTCTAACTATCAGTGACTGAACTGAAGCTCTACAGAAACATACTCTAACTATCAGTGACTGAACTGAAGCTCTATAGAAACATACTCTAACTATCAGTGACTGAACTGAAGCTCTATAGAAACATACTCTAACTATCAGTGACTGAACTGAAGCTCTATAGAAACATACTCTAACTATCAGTGACTGAACTGAAGCTCTATAGAAACATACTCTAACTATCAGTGACTGAACTGAAGCTCTATAGAAACATACTCTAACTATCAGTGACTGAACTGAAGCTCTATAGAAACATACTCTAACTATCAGTGACTGAACTGAAGCTCTATAGAAACATACTCTACTACTATCAGTGACTGAACTGAGCCTCTAAGAAACATACTCTAACTATCAGTGACTGAACTGAAGCTCTATAGAACATACTACTCAACTATCAGTGACTGAACTGAAGCTCTACAGAAACATACTCTAACTATCAGTGACTGAACTGAAGCTCTATAGAAACATACTCTAACTATCAGTGACTGAACTGAAGCTCTACAGAAACATACTCTAACTATCAGTGACTGCACTGAAGCTCTATAGAAACATACTCTAACTATCAGTGACTGAACTGAAGCTCTATAGAAACATACTCTAACTATCAGTGACTGAACTGAAGCTCTATAGAAACATACTCTAACTATCAGTGACTGAACTGAAGCTCTACAGAAACATACTCTAACTATCAGTGACTGAACTGAAGCTCTACAGAAACATACTCTAACTATCAGTGACTGAACTGAAGCTCTATAGAAACAACTCTAACTATCTGACTGAACTGAAGCTCTACAGAAACATACTCTAACTATCAGTGACTGAACTGAAGCTCTATAGAAACATACTCTAACTATCAGTGACTGAACTGAAGCTCTATAGAAACATACTCTAACTATCAGTGACTGAACTGAAGCTCTATAGAAACCTACTCTAAACTATCATGTGACTGAACTGAAGCTCTACAGAAACATACTCTAACTATCAGTGACTGAACTGAAGCTCTCAGAAACATACTCTAACTATCAGTGACTGAACTGAAGCTCTATCGAAACATACTCTAACTATCAGTGACTGAACTGAAGCTCTACAGGAAACATACTCTAACTATCAGTGACTGAACTGAAGCTCTACAGAAACATACTCTAACTATCAGTGACTGAACTGAAGCTCTACAGAAACATACTCTAACTATCAGTGACTGAACTGAAGCTCTATAGAAACATACTCTAACTATCAGTGACTGAACTGAAGCTCTACAGAAACATACTCTAACTATCAGTGACTGAACTGAAGCTCTATAGAAACATACTCTAACTATTAGTGACTGAACTGAAGCTCTACAGAAACATACTCTAACTATCAGTGACTGCACTGAAGCTCTATAGAAACATACTCTAACTATCAGTGACTGAACTGAAGCTCTATAGAAACATACTCTAACTATCAGTGACTGAACTGAAGCTCTACAGAAACATACTCTAACTATCAGTGACTGAACTGAAGCTCTACAGAAACATACTCTAACTATCAGTGACTGAACTGAAGCTCTACAGAAACATACTCTAACTATCAGTGACTGAACTGAAGCTCTACAGAAACATACTCTAACTATCAGTGACTGAACTGAAGCTCTACTAGAAACATACTCTAAACTATCAGTGACTGACTGAAGCTCTATAGAAACATACTCTAACTACAGAAACATACTCTAACTATCAGTGACTGAACTGAAGCTCTACAGAACATACTCTAACTATCAGTGACTGAACTGAAGCTCTAAAGAAACATACTCTAACTATCAGTGACTGAACTGAAGCTCTAAAGAAACATACTCTAACTATCAGTGACTGAACTGAAGCTCTACAGAAACATACTCTAACTATCAGTGACTGAACTGAAGCTCTACAGAAACATACTCTAACTATCAGTGACTGAACTGAAGCTCTACAGAAACATACTCTAACTATCAGTGACTGAACTGAAGCTCTATAGAAACATACTCTTACTATCAGTGACTGAACTGAAGCTCTAAAGAAACATACTCTTACTATCAGTGACTGAACTGAAGCTCTATAGAAACATACTCTAACTATCAGTGACTGAACTGAAGCTCTATAGAAACATACTCTTACTATCAGTGACTGAACTGAAGCTCTAAAGAAACATACTCTTACTATCAGTGACTGAACTGAAGCTCTATAGAAACATACTCTAACTATCAGTGACTGAACTGAAGCTCTAAAGAAACATACTCTAACTATCAGTGACTGAACTGAAGCTCTACAGAAACATACTCTAACTATCAGTGACTGAACTGAAGCTCTACAGAAACATACTCTAACTATCAGTGACTGAACTGAAGCTCTACAGAAACATACTCTAACTATCAGTGACTGAACTGAAGCTCTAAAGAAACATACTCTAACTATCAGTGACTGAACTGAAGCTCTAAAGAAACATACTCTTACTATCAGTGACTGAACTGAAGCTCTACAGAAACATACTCTAACTATCAGTGACTGAACTGAAGCTCTACAGAAACATACTCTAACTATCAGTGACTGAACTGAAGCTCTACAGAAACATACTCTAACTATCAGTGACTGACTGAAGCTCTATAGAAACATACTCTAACTATCAGTGACTGAACTGAAGCTCTATAGAAACATACTCTAACTATCAGTGACTGAACTGAAGCTCTATAGAAACATACTCTAACTATCAGTGACTGAACTGAAGCTCTACAGAAACATACTCTAACTATCAGTGACTGAACTGAAGCTCTATAGAAACATACTCTAACTATCAGTGACTGAACTGAAGCTCTAAAGAAACATACTCTTACTATTAGTGACTGCACTGAAGCTCTACAGAAACATACTCTAACTATTAGTATTATTACTGGCTGCTATTTTGTATTTTCACAATGAACACAATCTGTAATAAGTGTGCAATATATACTTCCACTTTCACTAGTGTTACCTGGCTGCTATCAAAATACTCTATACATGCTACACTTTATTTGGTACTTTTTTCTGTCCACCTGGATTTGTATTTTTGTGAATTGGAATTTCTCCAATTTCTATTTTGATCTTTAATATTTAATGCATGCCTCTTAATGAATATGTTTGCTATCTTTGGCGCTTTATTTTTACACTTCCACACATTCTGATTCTGATTACCCAGGGTTATAAACAACCTTATTGTATGAACTTTAGGGGACAGTTGTCCTTTTATCGGTGGAGAAACATTGAAGGCCAAATATTAGTTTGCCTATCAAGTGTAAAAAACGAATTCAACATAACCGGGAAACTTAGTTACACATCAATTCTGTATTTTAGGATTAGGAAATGCAGCTTCTATGAGACGATAATGAATTATTTAACTTAACACATTTTATTCTGTCTGTTTTAGACAAAGCTTCAGGTTGTTTTTCGTAGGAATTATAAGACTTTTAAAGGTGGGGTAGGTGATTTTGGAGAAACCAGCTCGAGTGCGCTAGAATTTGAAAATACACAACCGGAGAAAATCTGCCACTTCCTCACAGAGCCCCTCCTCCAACACACACGAACGCGCACATGACCAATGAGGGCACGAGGTAAGTTTGTGCCCAGATGGAAGGCTGACAGGCAGGTAGGCCATCCAGTTACTTTAGCCGGGCCGGCTATCGGATGTTAAGAGCATTCCATGGAATATAACAAGAAGTGTATCTCGAGCCGGTTTCTCAAACTTACCTACCCCACCTTTAATATAGATGAAACTTTGAGAAATAACATGTGGAGGTACTCACAGGCACAGAGTAGAGTTGGAGATCCTCCAGCTCCTTCCTGTCGGTGATGGAGGTGCAGTTGTTTCCTGGGATGAAGATCTGAGAGACAAAACAAGTGAAAGGAAAGAGAGAAAGTGATTGACGGAACAACAAATGGATTTATGAATAATACGTTTATTTATTATAGCACCTTTCACAGAAATAGATTTCACAAAGCGCTTCACAAGTAAGAACAAAAGTTTCTTTAAAAAAGTTTTAAAAAGAAAAATGTTTTATGAAATGTTGAAGTGACCAACTGACTGTATTTTGTTGTTGTTGTCTGAGATAGGAAAGTCTCATTTTGTTATTGTAATGTCCATGTGTTGTGTCTGTAGCCGTACCATACATTTTAAAAAAAGAACAAAAGTTAAAATTAAGCGCACAGAAACGTGATACATTAACAACATGAGGCAGACATTTAAGGTTAACACAAACAAAACACAGACCACGTGGAGTCCTGAAAGGAACACACATAAGAACACATCACACACATCTCAAGTAGAAACAAAAGCCAATGTAAAAAGATTGGTCTTCAGTAGTTTTTAATGACAGGGAAAGAAAAACAATTGTGACTGAAGATCAGGAGGCGGAGGGGGAACTCACTAAGTTGAGGAAGGCCATCAGCAGCGTGATGAGCAAACAGAGAACGACCACGAACAGTCGCAGCACCGCCCGGCTGGAGACGCCGCGAGACAAACCAGAAATCCACTGAACAACCAGCGGCATCTTCGAACGCCATTTCTGCAAAACAAATAAACACAGACAGGCTGATTCAAAAGTTGAAACAAGCACAAGTAAGTATTTATTTTCACCCAGGGTTCCTACAGCTTAAGACATGTTAGATGTCATACTTTTTAATCCCTCTTAAATGGCTATTTAAGGCCAATTTAACCACAAACAAAATACTTTTTTTGCACTAAACATTGCCTGGTTCCAGTTTCAAGTCATGACGCAAGATCTTAAATAGCCATCCCTTATTAAATTTGCCTCAAACTAAATATGATGCAAGATACATGATTTACAAAATAGATTTCACCCATTATTTAGAGATTATAAATTGCAATATCAGGAAAAAATGTACATTCTTACCACATCTTAGACATGATATAGATTGACATTAATTTAGGCATTTTCCTACCAATCAAGGCCTTTCTTGGAGTCATTTTAGAATGCTTTGAATAATGAATTCAAAGCCTCGTCACTCTCTCTCTTCCTCTTTTATTGAGATGCACCTGCTTTCATTTGCTGCTGTTAATCACTATAGCGATCACCTGTTGATATAAAACTCAATACATAACCATAACTGCTCAGTTAGAAACAAACCACAGTCACTACTAATTTACCTCCAGGTACCCGGTGAAAGCGATGGACAGAAGCAGCACAAACACAGGGAAGGTCACACCGTACGATACCGCCATCTCAAAGTCACTAAGAAAACAAATAATTAACATTGTTGAAAAACGAGTAAGAGACTTCTATTTCATAATAAGTGAATATTAGGTGCTCCTCACTTCTTAGAGACGAGTATCTGGACGGCGAAAATGGTGACGAAGACGAAAGCAGTGCAGCTGATGGAGTGGTGTAGACCTTTAACCTCTGAAACTCTGAACTGAAACACATCAATATTAGACACGTGTATAGGTTATTGTTCTGCACACAGGAACACAAACACACAGCCTGCTCTTTAACACACACATACTTTTGCTCAAGTTACCTTTCTCTCCAGGCTCAGGTCGTTGAAGAGCAGAGTCAAACAGTTGAGCTTCTTCAATCTCCTCCTAAAAGAAAATAGGAGAAGTTGAAATATCAAAATAAGAAGTACAGACTGTAAGAATGATCATAAAACAGTATAAAATGAAAAATACAATATATTTATTGAATAATCTAACAATTGACATTCACAATGTTGCTGTTAATTGGCCTGTTTTGAATCTATTTCATAATACAGAAGTTGTTCAAAAAATGTCCCCTAACCCTAACCCTATGTCACTCTCACGTCTTGTCTCTTTTCTTTCCGGGATATGTTTGACGATTTTCAACCAACTAAACACATTTTACAGCATATTTTGGATGCAAACCTACCCTGCATTGTCCATGGTGTCCAGTGAGCCCCTCATGCCGTTATCCACAAGCAAGCTGTACACAAACAAAACAGGAACACATTAGAAAGAGTATCACTGTTCCTCTGTTTTTGCATAACTGCATTTTGTTTTTCGGGGGAACTTACGTGTTGGACTGGCCAGGTTGTCTTTCCTGGAAGTACACACACACACACACACACACACACACACACACACACACACACACACACACACACACACACACACACACACACACACACACACACACACACACACACACACACACACACACACCACACAACACACACACACACACACACACACACACACACACACACACACACACACACACACACACACACACACACACACACACACACACACACACACACACACACACACACACAGCACACACACACACACACACACACACACACACACACACACACACACACACACACACACACACACACACACACACACCCACACACACACACACACACAACACACACACACACACACACACACACACACACACACCACACACACCACACACGTCACCAATAAAACTATGAAATAAATACATAAAAATAAAAACGTCTAAAATACAACAATATAAAATAAATAATAATGATTAAAAGACCAATTAAAAAAGGGGGAGGTTGCTAATAAAAAGCTAATCTAAGAAGATGTGTCTTCAGCTGTCGTTTAAAAATGTCCACTGAGTTGTGTGTGTTCCTAGAAAGAATATATGTACAGTAAGAAAACACCATGATGTAATTTCAGTATTTTATAACCACCTGTAAGTATTTGTACTTTCATGCACAGATTAACAAGCGGAAGAAACAACAACAAGGAGTAGATCAGCACAGATACGTACTGCGGAGTAATGTGATTGGTTCAAGGTTGTTACGATTATTGTGTTATGTCACGTTTTGTATGTCTTGTTTTGGGTGTTTTGCTGTTCTCCCTGTCATGTTTTCCTCTTGGTATATTGTCTGGTCCCTCTCTCTGTGTTTTTCCTCCTGTCGTTAGTTTCCCTGGTGTGTCTAGTTGTCTGATTGTGTTCATTGTGTTGGTTCGTCGTTTGTCTGTGACTGTGTTCACCGGGGAGTGTTCTGATTGTCCGTGTGCCATATCCTTGAAATAAAGGTATTTTCAGTTTTTCTGCATTTGGGTCCTGCCTGCTTCACTCACCGTAACAAAGGTGTTATTAGGGGTGACGATTGGCCGCAGTGGGTGCGTGGCATTAGGGTTGCTGAGGTCTGCGAAGGGATGGATGGTCCTCCAGGACTGCATGTACTGAGACATCCGGATGGACGCCCGCTGCCTCGTCTCTCCTGATGCTAGATGGTTCCCCTAAAATTCAGATTTAGATTAATTTAGTTCACTGGTTCTCCTTTAAAGGTCCCCTATTGTACTGTTTTTCATTACTTTATTATCATTGCAGCATCCCCTCTGTTTCAGCCCTGTTTCCAAAGTGCTGATTCTCTGTCTGTTACTTTAGATGAAAATAAGGAGCCACTCCATATGGTTTTTAGAGATCATTAACAAGTTTCCAGGGTTTAGGATCACCAAAGATGTCGGTACACTATATAGACGCCAAAATGATAAATCTGCACGTACATAAAGAGAGTTTCCTTTCCGCATTTTAAATTAAGGTAAACCTGCTTCCCCTTATGTACACATACAGTCTGTCAGGAAGTTGCCACTTAATTTAACCAACCAGAAACTTGACACCTTCATTTGTCAAATCTAGTATTAATTAAAACATCTTTGGGTTAAAAGTTGGACTGTAAGCTTAGTCAAATTGATACATCTCATCAAGTGAATGCCTTTGAGGTGAATTCCATTTTTAAATCTTCAAATTAGACGAAAGACGTTTTCTGACACCTTTCAACATTTTGCAATATTCATGATTTACCAGTGTATGTCGTCTCCTGGAAATGCTTTTTGCCTTGGGGTCAATCACCAGGTAGGTTTTCCTCCCTTCAAGCAGAGGATCCCGACTCCCCCCGTCCCCCTCCTCCACTTCATACGCTCCGTCCAAGTGCTGACGTGTCTCCTCTGTGATGTGGACTCGCCTATTAATGAGAAAATCGTAGTTTCAAAACAAAAATTAATACAAAGTACAGAGGGTAAGACAACTCAAAATGTATCGTCCACACATGGCAGTTATTTTAAAACAAAACATGTACACTTATACTGGTTGTTTTGTCGTCCTTTTTTTTTAATAGCGCATGGTGGAAAGGAGCAGGGAGAAGAACATCTAATTTGACCTGCCGCTTGTTAAAAAAAAAAAGATTAAATTAAATTAAATAACCATAAAAAAGTAAAATAAAAGCAATATTCTTTCAGTCACAGTTGCTTAGAAATACTGAAACATAAAACCAGAACACAAAAGTCAACTTCATACCGTCTAATTAATTACGCTTTCTTTATACATTTTCTTAAACATAACAATTATTCATCTAGAATGTTCTCACCCAGGAAGACCTCCAGACTCCATGTGATTGGCTAACGTGACGTCATGTGACCACACGTCGTACTGCCACTTCTGCAGACCGATCACACCACAGAGGACGTTGCCCGTGTGCACACCGACCCGCATGCTGATGTCTACACCGGTCGCCTCTCGCAGGAGACTACAGGGAGCAAGAGTATTAGTTAGTACGAGTGTTAATTGGTATTGTTATTTAGTAGTAAGGCTATTTCATGGCACTATCATGTTATTTTAAAACAGAAAGCACAGAAAACACTAAAAGTAAAGGACAGATATGTTAATGTTTGAACATGAGCATGTTTTCTATGTTGGTTGTCACACCAGCTCAACTTTTTTAGTAAACATTTGTTACTTTAATAAACAATAAAGACAACACTTCAGTCAAAATACTGCATTAAGTAGCGCTTTACAGGTTGTGTTTTTTTGTAAATTGTGTAACTTTTTTAATCTTTAAAGGTCACCTATCATGCTATTTTTAGGCAATAGCATAGGTCTCAGATATATAAAAATATATTAAAAACATGTCTATGAAGTGTTTTGCTCAAAATACCAAACAGATCACCCATTCTAGCCATGCCTCATATCCCTCCATTTCACTTCCTGTTTCTAAAGTGCTGATATGGGTATAAAGCTTAATTTTTTTTAAATACAAAATAAAAAGGAGGGGTCTGAGCTCATGTGGGATCCGGCAGCTACTGTCTAAACTAAATGCTGCGGTGATGAAACGCCATATCATGGATTATCAAGGATTCTCTCTGAAACAGTCTGGAGCTCAAAGGCTTTCTCTCTTGCCGGTTACACCACAAGGTGAGTTCCTTTTTACTTCCTGCTTCTTCACACACATGCTCTCCAGTACAGGTTAGCTCTGAGTGTTAGCGATGCTAATGTAAACACCGACCATATTACGTCCGAAACAGTCGGGCATTGTTTCTGATAGCAACGTTTCTGATTGGGCCGTGGGTCCACATTTCAGATATTACGGCATATCGGACGCAAATCTGGATCAGCTCCGTTGTTCCCCGTTTTTAGAGATTTGGGTACGGAGGAAAAGAGAGAGGGCTTTTATTTACTAATGCTGCGTGAGTTCCCTGACACACCGGGGACACATGTTTATGTATAAAAGACATCAAAAAGTGCATTTTGCATGATAGGTCCCCTTTAAAATATTTTTTGTATACATGCTTCTTAGGTAACATTAAGCTTTCTTTGGCTCTTTTCTGCTGTAACAATGTAAATGTCCCCTCTGTGGGACTAATAAAGTTATTCTGATTTCTTAATAATAATAATAATAACAAAACGTTGTAAATATATCACCTTTCAAAACATAGTTACAACGTGCTTTCGTATACAAATACACAGAAAACAAGTGAACTAAACAACAGCATCTAAACATAAGAACACAGAGTAAAACCGATAGAAAATAATAAAACTAAAATAAATAGATTACAAATAAATGAAGAAAAAAAGCTTTATTCCCTACGAAAGTAACACCAGGGATTGACCAACTAACGAGCCTTAATTTCTTTGATATGTTAGATAATAACAAAAGAAGACAGTTATAATACATTTTTGTAATAAATCTAGATGACTGACCTGATGCCAGAGCACATGTCCAGCCCCATCTTAACGCAGTTCTTAGCGTGTGTGGGGATGGGATCAGGTAGACCAGACACACAGTAGTAGCAATCACCCAGGATCTTAATGCGGAGACACCCATTATTCTACAGATGGAGACAAAACAGAGAAAGGGAGTCAGACGCAGTATTAGGCGACTCAAAACTGTCCTTTGAGAAGAAAGACGTCACTTTGAGGTTGTTCTGTAGATGTTTTTACCTTCGCGATGTCATCAAATCTTCCAAAGAGTTTGTTGAGAACAGCCACCAGCTCCTCAGGTGAGCAGGAACTCGCCAGCTTTGTGAAACCCACAATGTCTGCGTACAGGATGCTGCACACACACACACACACACACACAACACACACACACACACACAACACACACACACCCACACACACACACACACACACACACACACAGCACACACACCACACACACACACACACACACAACCACACACACAACACACACACCACACCACACACACACACACACACACACACACACACACACACACCGGCACAAACACACACACTGCTCCACCACATCACACACACACACACACACACACAAACACACACACACACACACACACACACACACACACACACACACACACACACACATACATAGACACATACACAAATAGACACACACACACACACACACACATAGACACATACACAAATAGACACACACACACACACACACACACACACACACACAACACACACACACACACACGCACGCACGCACACATCAGTATGATAGAGGTTGTGTCAGTGCTGCACAATAACACAGGAAATGTAAAACCATTTTTGTAAGTAATTGCTGTTGTCTAATTTTCATCTTTGATGTACTTTTAGTTATTTTATTTATCAATACAAATTATATATAAATTATTTTATTTATCAATACAAATTATATATAAATTATTTTATTTATCAATACAAATTATATATAAATTATTTTATTTATCAATACAAATTTGATCACAAAAAAAGGAAATGTAAAACCATTTTAGACATCTTAAACCTGTAGTCTTTCTCTTGGATATATATATATATATATATATATATATATATATATATTGTATCTTCTATCTGTCAAGAAGGACTTTTAAATACTATTTAAACATAGGATTGTACAATTTAATTTAAAATGTGTGGGTTTTTTTTCTTCACGTACACAGCTTCATGCCACTGTAAGAAAGACTTTATTTAAATATTGATTAAGAGCTAGAGACTATATCTATTACGTGTAGTTCAGTTGTGTATTTATGTTGTACAAGTATCATTAGTCATTCATATTAAAGGTCACAATGAGGGTCATGTCTCTATGCATTTCAAATGCAATATAATAATAATACATTTCACTTGTGTAGCACAAGTAATGACAGTGCAAATTAACTACAAAAAGTTAATGTGCAGTATAATAGTAAATTAATAATAATAATAGTATTGTCTATAAAGTAATCTTCACCTGACGTCTCTGTGCTTGCGGACGTAGAGGCTGTAGAAGTTGTGAGGGTTGTTTTCATTCTTCTTCTCAGTCTCGGGTTTGAACAGCTTCTTTATCACCTCCGTCTTCAGCTCCATGGCGATGTACCGTGGCAACACTGACAGCAGCAGCTTCTCCTGTTGCCATGGACACAGAGATGACAGATATTGTGATGAGTTTTGAGACTCTGCATCTGCGTTATTGTATTTCTGTTTTACAATCCGTCCTAAAGGCTGTGTAAGAAACAGGAAATAGCCTCTTTTGAAGCGCTGCGGTGTTTACTCAGCGGACCGTGTTTCATCTATCTGTTTACCTGCCGTGAATAGCGTCCATACAGCTTTGCATTTTCTATCGCTGCCGGGCTTCGGACGAGTGAATCATTAATCTATTGACCTAATAGCCACAAAGGCATACAGCGACTTAACCCAGGCTGTCGAGGTAGAGAGTCTCTTTGATAATGAAGCGATTGCACGTAACGATTTTAAATCCAGAAGGACAGGGTATAGATATAGCAATTATACCTGTCATTTTAGAACAAGTATGGTATGTTAATAACTTATTTTACCCTTTAGTCTGTTAACTCGTTATTGTTGTAATTATTCATTACTTTTTCATTATTTATCTTTTAGTTTTATCATGACTTAGATTTTTTTACATGGCTATCTCTTGCACATTATCTCTTTGATTTCATTTTTCTATTATTTATATTTTTTAACAAATTCGTTATTATGAATAATAATCCCTTTTTGTATTAATATTTATTAGCATTATTACAATAATAATAATAGATTTAATTTGTTAGCGCTTTTACAGGTGCTCAAAGACGCTTTACAGATATAGTGAAGGGAAAAGAAAAGGAAGGAACAACAAATAAATATATAGTTAAAGTTAAAGTCAAATAATACAAAAACAATCACACATTAAAAGCCAGATTGAAGAGGTGAGTTTTTGTGAGTTTTTTGAAGGTGGTGAGGTCAGTGCAGTCTCTGATGGGTTGGGGGAGTCATACATACATACAATCCCTCTATGTATCGAGGTATTTGTATATTCATATTTATATATTTATTTCTAGCACATTATCTCTTTGATATAATATCTTTAAGGAATAATAATAATAATAATAAATAAATAAGATAATAATACAAAATATCCTTTTAAAAATAAAATTGCGTGATTTTTATAATGCAGAAGTATCCACTTGTAAAATCTGATCTTATAGTGAACATTTGATTTGTGTCAGTAAAGGCTAAGCTGAGGTGTTGTGTATTATTACCTAATCTATTCAAATAGGTCACATTTAAATTAAAACCACACATGACATTACATCACATGTCACTTGTTAGACGCTTTTATCCAAAGCGACTTACATACTCAATACTGTGGACAATCCCCACAGGAGCAATTTGGGGTGAAGCGTCCCAGGGACACAACAACATGCTGACTGCAGTGGGGTTTGAACCTGTGACCCCCTGATCCCAACACCAACGCCCCAGTCCACAGCGCCACACACACACCTCCCATACCATATAATGAGTTTGAAGACAGAGTGTTTCTTTGTACTACCTGCTGGTATTTCTTGATTTCCTTCTGGGAACGTATGGTGCTGAACTCCTCTCTCTTCATATTGGATTTCCGGAGATCCCGCTCCGTCATCCACAGATGGAAAATCCCCACGCAGTTCACACACACAAACAGAAACGCATTCGCCACCAGCTGCGAGAAGAGACAAGGAGGTTATTTACACTTGACTATTTATCCAGCGGAAACAATATTGGTACATCAATCACTGACAGAGAGTTGGAAAAACAAAGACATTATTGAATTTGTGTGCATTATTAAAGAGATGTATCACTAACTGAATTAGCTTCTACTTTAAAGATCCCCTATTATACTGTTTTTCATCAATATATTACAGGTCTCAGATATATCCAGAACATGTCTCTGATTGGCTGACACACGATCATTGCAGCATCCCATAATCCCCTCTGTTTCAGCCCTGTTTAAAAAGTGCTGATTCTCTGGGTGTTTCTCAATATCGAGGACGCTTCCTTGGTAGGACATGTCTTCCGAGTCAGGTCCTTCAGAAGCGAGGCAAGAATCCCTCCTTGCCTCGGAAAACGAAGAATGGTCGGAACAGGCTAACAGGTGTGCCGGTGTGCGTCACATGAGAGGCCCCGCCTTACATTTTCCGCCAAAGATTTGGGAAATTGGTCCGTGTGCAAAGCATTGTGGGGATTTTAAGACCGCGGAGGATACACATGTGCAGCCTCGAAATTTCCCGCAACGAAGGACGTCGGCCTCGGTAGAATTCCAAGGATCCTGGACATTGGAACAGTCTTTCGGCGGGACTCGATGACGTAGAATCCTTGAAATAGTGGCTCTGGAGGATCCTTCCTCGACATTGAGAAACACCCTCTGTCTGTTACTTTAGATGAAAATAAGGAGCCCCTCCCCACGCCCCTCTGAGAGACATTTGGTTACAAAGAACACAATGGTGCTCATGGAGGAGATTCAGGTGATAAGGGGGGGGGGGAGACTCTCAGAGTCTCTTTCTGGGGACACATGTTGAGGTAGAAGAGACATGGAGAAGAGGGGACACATGTTGATGTAGAAGAGACATGAAGAAGAGGGGACACATGTTGATGTAGAAGAGACATGAAGAAGAGGGGACACATGTTGATGTAGAAGAGACATGAAGAAGAGGGGACACATGTTGATGTAGAAGAGACATGAAGAAGAGGGGACACATGTTGATGTAGAAGAGACATGAAGAAGAGGGGACACATGTTGATGTAGAAGAGACATGAAGAAGAGGGGGACACATGTTGATGTAGAAGAGACATGAAGAAGAGGGGACACATGTTGATGTAGAAGAGACATGAAGAAGAGGGGACACATGTTGATTTAGAAGAGACATGAAGAAGAGGGGACACATGCTGATGTAGAAGAGACATGAAGAAGAGGGGACACATGCTGATGTAGAAGAGACATGAAGAAGAGGGGACACATGTCTGATGTAGAAGAGACATGAAGAAGAGGGGACACATGTTGATGTAGAAGAGACATGAAGAAGAGGGGACACATGTTGATGTAGAAGAGACATGAAGAAGAGGGGACACATGTTGATGTAGAAGAGACATGAAGAAGAGGGGACACATGTTGATGTAGAAGAGACATGAAGAAGAGGGGACACATGTTGATGTAGAAGAGACATGAGAAAGAGGGGACACATGTTGATGTAGAAGAGACATGAAGAAGAGGGGACACATGTTGATGTAGAAGAGACATGAAGAAGAGGGGACACATGTTGATGTAGAAGAGACATGAAGAAGAGGGGACACATGTTGATGTAGAAGAGACATGAAGAAGAGGGGACACATGTTGATGTGAAGAGACATGAAGAAGAGGGGACACATGTTGATGTAGAAGAGACATGAAGAAGAGGGGACACATGTTGATGTAGAAGAGACATGAAGAAGAGGGGACACATGTTGATGTAGAAGAGACATGAAGAAGAGGGGACACATGTTGATGTAGAAGAGACATGAAGAAGAGGGGACACATGTTGATGTAGAAGAGACATGAAGAAGAGGGGACACATGTTGATGTAGAAGAGACATGAAGAAGAGGGGACACATGTTGATGTAGAAGAGACATGAAGAAGAGGGGACACATGTTGATGTAGAAGAGACATGAAGAAGAGGGGACACATGTTGATTTAGAAGAGACATGAAGAAGAGGGGACACATGTTGATGTAGAAGAGACATGAAGAAGAGGGGACACATGTTGATTTAGAAGAGACATGAAGAAGAGGGGACACATGCTGATGTAGAAGAGACATGAAGAAGAGGGGACACATGTTGATGTAGAAGAGACATGAGAAGAGGGGACACAGCTAATTAGAAGAGACATGAAGAAGAGGGGACACATGCTGATGTAGAAGAGACATGAAGAAGAGGGGACACATGTTGATGTAGAAGAGACATGAAGAAGAGGGGACACATGCTGATGTAGAAGAGACATGAAGAAGAGGGGACACATGTTGATGTAGAAGAGACATGAAGAAGAGGGGACACATGCTGATGTAAGAAGAGGGGACACATGTTGATGTAGAAGAGACATGAAGAAGAGGGGACACATGTTGATGTAGAAGAGACATGAAGAAGAGGGGGACACATGTTGATGTAGAAGAGACATGAAGAAGAGGGGACACATGTTGATGTAGAAGAGACATGAAGAAGAGGGGACACATGTTGATGTAGAAGAGACATGAAGAAGAGGGGACACATGTTGATGTAGAAGAGACATGAAGAAGAGGGGACACATGTTGATGTAGAAGAGACATGAAGAAGAGGGGACACATGTTGATGTAGAAGAGACATGAAGAAGAGGGGACACATGTTGATGTAGAAGAGACATGAAGAAGAGGGGACACATGTTGATGTAGAAGAGACATGAAGAAGAGGGGACACATGTTGATGTAGAAGAGACATGAAGAAGAGGGGACACATGTTGATGTAGAAGAGACTGAGAAGAGGGACACATGTTGATGTAGAAGAGACATGAAGAAGAGGGGACACATGTTGATGTAGAAGAGACATGAAGAAGAGGGGACACATGTTGATGTAGAAGAGACATGAAGAAGAGGGGACACATGTTGATGTAGAAGAGACATGAAGAAGAGGGGACACATGTTGATGTAGAAGAGACATGAAGAAGAGGGGACACATGTTGATGTAGAAGAGACATGAAGAAGAGGGGACACATGTTGATTAGAAGAGACATGAAGAAGAGGGGACACATGTTGATGTAGAAGAGACATGAAGAAGAGGGGACACATGCTGATGTAGAAGAGACATGAAGAAGAGGGGACACATTTGATGTAGAAGAGACATGAAGAAGAGGGGACACATGTTGATGTAGAAGAGACATGAAGAAGAGGGGACACATGTTGATGTAGAAGAGACATGAAGAAGAGGGGACACATGTTGATGTAGAAGAGACATGAGAAGAGGGGACACATGTTGATGTAGAAGAGACATGAAGAAGAGGGGACACATGTTGATTGTAGAAGAGACATGAAGAAGAGGGGACACATGTTGATGTAGAAGAGACATGAAGAAGAGGGGACACATGTTGATGTAGAAGAGACATGAAGAAGAGGGGACACATGTTGATTTAGAAGAGACATGAAGAAGAGGGGACACATGCTGATGTAGAAGAGACATGAAGAAGAGGGGACACATGTTGATGTAGAAGAGACATGAAGAAGAGGGGACACATGTTGATGTAGAAGAGACATGAAGAAGAGGGGACACATGTGATGTAGAAGAGACATGAAGATGAGGGGACACATGTTGATGTGGAAGAGACATGAAGAAGAGGGGACACATGTTGATGTAGAAGAGACATGAAGAAGAGGGACACATGTTGATGTAGAAGAGACATGAAGAAGAGGGGACACATGTTGATTTAGAAGAGACATGAAGAGATGGGGACACATGCTGATGTAGAAGAGACATGAAGAAGAGGGGACACATGTTGATGTAGAAGAGACATGAAGAAGAGGGGACACATGTTGATTTAGAAGAGACATGAAGAAGAGGGGACACATGCTGATTTAGAAGAGACATGAAGAAGATGGGACACATGCTGATGTAGAAGAGACATGAAGAAGAGGGGACACATGTTGATGTAGAAGAGACATGAAGAGAGGGGACACATGTTGATGTAGAAGAGACATGAAGAAAGAGAGCAAGAGATGACACATGTTGATGTAGAAGAGACATGAAGAAGAGGGGACACATGTTGATGTAGAAGAGACATGAAGAAGAGGGGACACATGTTGATGTAGAAGAGACATGAAGAAGAGGGGACACATGTTGATGTAGAAGAGACATGAAGAAGAGGGGACACATGTTGATGTAGAAGAGACATGAAGAAGAGGGGACACATGTTGATGTAGAAGAGACATGAAGAAGAGGGGACACATGTTGATGTAGAAGAGACATGAAGAAGAGGGGACACATGCTGATGTAGAAGAGACATGAAGAAGAGGGGACACATGTTGATGTAGAAGAGACATGAAGAAGAGGGGACACATGTTGATGTAGAAGAGACATGAAGAAGAGGGGACACATGTTGATGTAGAAGAGACATGAAGAAGAGGGGACACATGTTGATGTAGAAGAGACATGAAGAAGAGGGGACACATGTTTGATGTAGAAGAGACATGAAGAAGAGGGGACACATGTTGATGTAGAAGAGACATGAAGAAGAGGGGGACACATGTTGATGTAGAAGAGACATGAAGAAGAGGGGACACATGTTGATGTAGAAGAGACATGAAGAAGAGGGGACACATGTTGATGTAGAAGAGACATGAAAGAAGAGGGGACACATGTTGATGTAGAAGAGACATGAAGAAGAGGGGACACATGTTGATGTAGAAGAGACATGAAGAAGAGGGGACACATGTTGATGTAGAAGAGACATGAAGAAGAGGGGACACATGTTGATGTAGAAGAGACATGAAGAAGAGGGGACACATGTTGATGTAGAAGAGACATGAAGAAGAGGGGACACATGTTGATGTAGAAGAGACATGAAGAAGAGGGGACACATGTTGATGTAGAAGAGACATGAAGAAGAGGGGACACATGTTGATGTAGAAGAGACATGAAGAAGAGGGGACACATGTTGATGTAGAAGAGACATGAAGAAGAGGGGACACATGCTTGATGTAGAAGAGACATGAAGAAGAGGGGACACATGTTGATGTAGAAGAGACATGAAGAAGAGGGGACACATGTTGATGTAGAAGAGACATGAAGAAGAGGGGACACATGTTGATGTAGAAGAGACATGAAGAAGAGGGGGACACATGTTGATGTAGAAGAGACATGAAGAAGAGGGGACACATGTTGATGTAGAAGAGACATGAAGAAGAGGGGACACATGTTGATGTAGAAGAGACATGAAGAAGAGGGGACACATGTTGATGTAGAAGAGACATGAAGAAGAGGGGACACATGTTTGATGTAGAAGAGACATGAAGAAGAGGGGACACATGTTGATGTAGAAGAGACATGAAGAAGAGGGGACACATGTTGATGTAGAAGAGACATGAAGAAGAGGGGACACATGTTGATGTAGAAGAGACATGAAGAAGAGGGGACACATGCTTGATGTAGAAGAGACATGAAGAAGAGGGGACACATGTTGATGTAGAAGAGACATGAAGAAGAGGGACACATGTTGATGTAGAAGAGACATGAAGAAGAGGGGACACATGTTGATGTAGGGGGGGGAAAAGAGGGGACACATGTGGTTGTAGAAGAGACATGAAGAAGAGGGGACACATGTTGATGTAGAAGAGACATGAAGAAGAGGGGACACATGTTGATGTAGAAGAGACATGAAGAAGAGGGGGACACATGCTGATTGTAGAAGAGACATGAAGAAGAGGGGACACATGTTGATGTAGAAGAGACATGAAGAAGAGGGGAACATGTTGATGTAGAAGAGACATGAAGAGAGGGGACACATGTTGATGTAGAAGAGACATGAAGAAGAGGGGGACACATGTTGATGTAGAAGAGACATGAAGAAGAGGGGACACATGTTGATGTAGAAGAGACATGAAGAAGAGGGGACACATGCTGATGTAGAAGAGACATGAAGAAGGAGGGGGACACATGCTGATGTAGAAGAGACATGAAGAGAGGGACACATGTTGATGTAGAAGAGACATGAAGAAGAGGGGACACATGTTGATGTAGAAGAGACATGAAGAAGAGGGGACACATGTTGATGTAGAAGAGACATGAAGAAGAGGGGACACATGTTGATGTAGAAGAGACATGAAGAAGAGGGGACACATGTTGATGTAGAAGAGACATGAAGAAGAGGGGACACATGCTTGATGTAGAAGAGACATGAAGAAAGAGGGGACACATGCTGATGTAGAAGAGACATGAGAAGAGGGGACACATGCTGATGTAGAAGAGACATGAAGAAGAGGGGACACATGTTGATGTAGAAGAGACATGAAGAAGAGGGGACACATGTTGATGTAGAAGAGACATGAAGAAGAGGGGACACATGTTGATGTAGAAGAGACATGAAGAAGAGGGGACACATGCTTGATGTAGAAGAGACATGAAGAAGAGGGGACACATGTTGATGTAGAAGAGACATGAAGAAGAGGGGACACATGTTGATGTAGAAGAGACATGAAGAAGAGGGGACACATGTTGATGTAGAAGAGACATGAAGAAGAGGGGACACATGTGATGTAGAAGAGACATGAAGAAGAGGGGACACATGTTGATGTAGAAGAGACATGAAGAAGAGGGGACCACATGTTGATGTAGAAGAGACATGAAGAAGAGGGGGACACATGTTGATGTAGAAGAGACATGAAGAAGAGGGGACACATGTTGATGTAGAAGAGACATGAAGAAGAGGGGACACATGTGATGTAGAAGAGACATGAAGAAGAGGGGACACATGTTGATGTAGAAGAGACATGAAGAAGAGGGGACACATGTTGATGTAGAAGAGACATGAAGAAGAGGGGACACATGTTGATGTAGAAGAGACATGAGAAGAGGGGACACATGTTGATGTAGAAGAGACATGAAGAAGAGGGGACACATGTTGATGTGAGAGAGACATGAAGAAGAGGAGAGGGGAACACATGTTGATGTAGAAGAGACATGAAGAAGAGGGGACACATGCTGATGTAGAAGAGACATGAAGAAGAGGGGACACATGTGATGTAGAAGAGACATGAAGAAGAGGGGACACATGTTGATTTAGAAGAGACATGAAGAAGAGGGGACACATGTTGATTTAGAAGAGACATGAAGAAGAGGGGACACATGTTGATGTAGAAGAGACATGAAGAAGAGGGGACACATGTTGATTTAGAAGAGACATGAAGAAGAGGGGACACATGTTGATGTAGAAGAGACATGAAGAAGAGGGGACACATGTTGATTTAGAAGAGACATGAAGAAGAGGGGACACATGTTGATGTAGAAGAGACATGAAGAAGAGGGGACACATGTTGATTTAGAAGAGACATGAAGAAGAGGGGACACATGTTGATTGTAGAAGAGACATGAAGAGAGGGGACACATGTTGATTTAGAAGAGACATGGAAGAAAGGGGACACATGTTGATGTAGAAGAGACATGAAGAAGAGGGGACACATGTTGATTTAGAAGAGACATGAAGAAGAGGGGACACATGTTGATGTAGAAGAGACATGAAGAAGAGGGGACACATGTTGATGTAGAAGAGACATGAAGAAGAGGGGACACATGTTGATGTAGAAGAGACATGAGGAAGAGGATTTTGCATAATAGATGACCTTTAACAAAGCATCTTTCCAGGAAACTGTAAAACCTGCTGCTCACACACATTCCCCACAAGTGTGATTTGAATAAAGACGCTATTTTCTAGCACATGCAAAAGATGCCTATCTCTTTAGATGGCCGAGTCATTTGTTCATATTTGTCTACATTTACATCTGTACTTTAACCTGTACATGTGTTTTTTTAACCAATACTCACTTTGCATCAGTATTGACAACCTAAGCCATGATTATAAGTTATCATTTAGGGTCTTAATGTTTTTGAAACAACATAACAGCGACACAGAAAACATAATAATGTACTTAAAGGGAAAAAGGAGACGCTAACTGATATAAGACATTTCTGTTACCCTCAGTGAGAGAATCCAGAAAACAGAAAGAAAGTATATTCTTCTATACTTTTCAATCAATAGAACAAATATATAGAAAAGCTAAATATATTGTGTTAAATAGTAAGATGTAACAGTGGCTCCATTTGAGAATGAAATTAACCAAAAAAGATATTTAAATAATGAAAAATATAAACGTTAAAGTGAAATGTCCAATAAAGGATACCAAAAAATATAAATATTGACATAAACATAAAAAGTAAAAATGTGCACATTGTACTAGAACAAATATCATGTATACAACAATATAAACAGTGACGTTTTAGTGTTAATATAGATATTAAATGTACCTGTTTTACATTTCTAAGCCATGCTAAGCTACACCACACAGGCCTGGCTTCACGTTTTGATTACAGACATAAAAGGGAACAAGCAAATTCAATAAAATGCTAAACTTGTCACTTAAAATCTTTACTTGCAAGATGGTAAAGCACTGGTTCTTACTATCATAATGGTTCAGGTATTGTGCGATCATTTTGTTGATGAGGGGGAATGATAGGAATCTGGGTGTGACCCTAGATAACAACCTGTCCTTTACTGCAAACATCGCTGCTACAACCCGTTGCTGCAGATACACGCTTTACAACATCAGGAAGATACGTCCCCAGCTGACCCAGAAAGCGACGCAGGTTCTGGTCCAGGCTCTCGTCATCTCACGCCTAGACTACTGCAACTCCCTCCTGGCTGGTCTACCTGCATGTGCCATCCGACCTCTGCAGCTCACCCAGAATACAGCGGCTCGTCTGGTCTTCAACCTTCCTAAATTCTCCCACACCACTCCGCTCCTCCGCTCCCTTCACTGGCTTCCGGTAACTGCTAGAATCCACTTCAAGACACTGGTACTTGCTTACCGTGCTGCGAATGGATCTGGCCCTTCCTACATCCAGGACATGGTTAAACCGTACACCCCAGCGCGTGCACTACGCTCTGCATCAGCCAAACGACTCGCTGCGCCCTCGCTGCGAGGGGGACCCAAGTTCCCATCGGCGAAAACACCTGGGTTTGCTATCCTGGCTCCAAGATGGTGGAATGAGCTCCCCATTGACATCAGGACAGCAGATAGCTTACACACCTACCGGCGCAGACTGAAAACTCATCTCTTTCGACTCCACTTCGAGCGATAGAACTATTAACGAAGCACTTATATACTAATAAAGGACTGGCTTACCTAAAGCCAGTTGAGTAGCACTTGAAATGTGTTGGCTCTATGAAACCTGATGATTCTGTTTTCTTCAAGTTTGTATCCTCCAGGTCGAACGCACTTATTGTACGCCGCTTTGGATAAAAGCGTCAGCTAAATGTAATGTAATGATAATGTCGGAAATATGTTGATAATGTTTGCACAATATGAAAATGGATAGCATCAATAAATTGTACGTCCTTTTGGTGTCCATGGAGGGCATGGCTGATTAACCCTGAGGTACAACAGGTGCAGTTATGTAAGCATCCTATAGCAGTATGTCCTCTGTATGTTAAGTTAAAAAAAGACAAATAATGTTTACCTGCACAGCCAGGTTGGGTGTGTCTGGGCTGGTGATGGGGACGTAGACGCTGATGATGACGATGTGAGAGACGCTCGTCCAGATCCCAACCATGAGGGCCCAGGCCATGGAGAGAGGAAGCACCGTGTACACGCTCAGAGAGAGGAAGAGGAAGAATGCCACCTGAGGAGTTACGGGAAGATGTTACTGAACAGTTAAAGAATATATAACATGGGATGGTGTTCATAGTACTATCAGAGAAGTTATGATGTCTCTCCTTTTACCTTATGGACTCTGAATCGTCAAAAAGTCACCAAAATCTTTTAAAAATCTTTTTGAAAGTGAGTTAAAAAGGCCGTAAAAAGGCAAGGGGCTCTGTAAGGAACCTCCCACTATCGACCAATTGGTATAACTCACACAAAAGGGGTGACAACCTTTCTTGAATTTGATGTATTGATATATTGCCTTTATATTCTCTGATGGCCTACTCGTTGTACCCGTGGTTTCTTTTGAGTTACTAAGTATTTGATGTCTGTTTATCCGCCTTTTGTCCTGAAGTGTCCTTTCTACTGATGTACTAAACCTCATTATTTCTTTCTGTGTTTCCTTCTCACCTGTTCCCACGCAGTGACGGGTCCTCCGGTGAAGATGAAGACGATGGCGGTGACGTACAGCGTCCCCCAGACGAAGAGCGCCAGCGCCCCCCCCGCAGCGCCGCACCGTGGCCAGCCAGGGCAGACAGACGAGCAGGAAGAAGCTCACACACAGAACCACACACAACACTGACAGCGCACCCACGTGATGAACGATGTTCTGTGGAGGGATGGGCGAACGATTAAAAACATGTTATCACTCACGTTGTTTAAGACACTAAACTGTCATGGATGTTGTGGAGCAGGCAGCGTTAAAGGTCCCCTATCATACTGTTTTTCCTCAATACATTATGGGTCTCACCAAACCCATTTCAACAAGTCAAAAATCAGTATGGTCTCTCAGACTCATCTTTTCTATCATATGCACAAATAGCATCTATTATTAGTACAAAATGTAAGGAGGGAGCCACGCCCCTCTGAGAGATATTTGGTTACAAAGAACACAAAGGTGCTCTAGGAGGAGATTCAGGTGATAAGGTGTGTGGGGGGGGGGTTGTTTTAATGCACTGCTACTATGTGTGATGTTGTGCACCATCAAAAGTGCTAAGTCAGTCATGTTTCATGTTGTTATTCTTGTATTGTCACTTCCTGTTTTGTTTTGACACTCAATTGTCACGTCTCATTTCAGGTTCCTTGACTCCCTTCCCTAGTGTGTTCTCCCGCGCCCATCACCTGTGCCCAGTTATCTCCTGTTTATGTTCCCCTTGTCCTGTCCTCATGCCAGAACTCTGCTCTTCAGCGTTTGCTTTGGATTCAAAGCCTATTTTTGCTCCTGAAACTTATGTTAAGTTTAGTTCCTCACGTTGTGAGCGGTTACCTTTAGTGCAAATAAAGTATATCAATTATACTTTACCTCCCGGGTCGTGCATTTGAGTCCTTATCTTTGTGTATCCAAGTTCGTAACATGTGACTCTGCACTGTGTATGACCTTGCAGCTGCCTCTTCTTGTGATAGGAGGAGGCAGGGCATTTCAGGTTGTTGATATTTATGAGAAGACACATACTTGTTGTCTCCTAAATATCTCATTTCTATGAGGCGTGAAGGAAGAACGTGACTCTTTCCAGAAGACGTCGCAGATGACCTCGACACCTTTCCGACACCCGCGGATGATATTAGCGCCACCTCGATTTACGACTTTGTTGTTATCTCCGTGTTTTGGACTATATACTGTAAGCCTGATGTTTTGAGTTAACCCATATCCTTTGTATGTGATTTAACTCTGCTCCTTCTTGCAAGAATGAATTAGTACCTGATTATTGATTCTCAACCTGGTGTCGAGTGATATTTTCCTAACATAATTGGTCCTTCGAGCCGGATCCAAGACCTCCTTCTTTCTCCGGGCAAACGAGCCTGACGCTGTTCACAGGGAGTCGAGGACTCTTAAAAAAGACATTTTACAAAGAAACATTTTGGTAAATAGGGGGGCCAGGTTTCGCTGGAGAGGAGAGGAGTGACGGATCCTTGAACTACCGACACGGGAGAGAACTTCAATACAGGAATCGTTTTTGGTTTCAAACCCCTGGTTCGTGGAAGGATACCAAAAAAGTCATAGAAAGACACAGGTAAACTTAGCTAAAGTATTTTTAAAATACATAGTTTGTGGGTAGACTAGGGCATTTTTACTTAGTTTTGGGGTAAAACTATTGGAGTTTTATAGTTCGAGGGTGGACTATAGGACACTTTTTTCTTAGTTTAGGTAAAACTATTGTGAGTTTTATAGTTTATGCGTAGACTATAGGGCATTTTTACTTAGTTTTGGGGAAAACTATGGGAGTTTTATAGGTCGTGAGTGGACTATAGGGCAACTAATCATGGGTTCATGCTGCATCAAGACCCGTGAGAAGAAGATAGAAACAGAAATAGTCATCTTATCAGGAGAGGCTAAATGGATGCAGGTGAAGCATGGAACGAGTGTGAAGAGAAATAAATACGACTTCCAAGGGAGGTTAGTGGTAGAGGAATGCCAACAATTGATTGATTACATCGAGAACAAATGTAACGGGAATGGAAAAAGGGAGGAAGAAGAGGATTTATTAGGGGCTATGATGTGGTTAGCCGAAGCAAGGAAAATAAGGGGAGGACATGAGAGAGAGGTAGAGAGGAGAAGGAGAGAAAAGGAAAAGGCTGAGAAAACAGCAGAATCAGAAAAAGAGAAATCAGAAAAGAAGAAATCAGAAAATAAGGTTTTGTATAACTTGTATCCTAATCTCCCCTATTCCGAGAAACTTGACGATCAAGTGATATGCAGACGCCGCCAACCCCCTCCTCCGTATCTCCCTCCTGTGGGACCTGCTGTCATGCAGGAGCAATGGATAGATAACCATGCACAAGCTCAACACCCCGGGGATCTCCTCGGACCCCATGGCCTCCGTCTCGTCTCACCCCTCTGCTCCCCCACCGACTCCGCTGCCTTGGCCACCCGCTCCGCCCTACCAACCACCTCCACACACCGACCCTCGTGCTCCCGCGCAGAGAACAGCCGGCATGAGGGAGGAACCCAGCAACACACGGTCAGGTAAGGCATTCAGAATGCCCGTTATGCCAGTTATGAATATATCAGGGAATGCGACTGATTTTCTAAGGGGGGGCATTTAAACTGAATGGGGTGAAATTGGCAAACAAAAGAAAAATAAGAAACACAAAGCAAACTGCCGTGTTTTTAACACGCATCTGATGATTACACTTCTGATGTAGGTTCTGTTGAATTGGTTTTCCGAGGTGATCAAAGAGGGCGCGGACGGGGCCGTGGCGGAAGGGACGGACGAGGTGGAGGGCGAGGTGGGGCACGAGGTCGAGGGCGAGGTGGGACGGACGAGGTGGGACGCACGAGGTGGGACGGACGAGGTGGGACGGACGAGGTGGAGGGCGAGGTGGGGCACGAGGTGGAGGGCGAGGCGGGGCACGAGGTGGAGGGCGCGGTGGGGCACGAGGTGGAGGGCGAGGTGGGAAACGAGGGGGGAGGGCGAGGGCGAGGTGGGGCACGAGGTGGAGGGCGAGGTGGGGCACGAGGTGGAGGGCGAGGGCGAGGTGGGGCATGAGGTGGGGCACGAGGTGGAGGGCGAGGTGGAGGGCGAGGTGGGGCATGAGGTGGGGCACGAGGTGGAGGGCGAGGTGGGGCACGAGGTGGAGGGCGAGGGCGAGGTGGGGCATGAGGTGGGGCACGAGGTGGAGGGCGAGGTGGAGGGCGAGGTGGGGCATGAGGTGGGGCACGAGGTGGAGGGCGAGGTGGAGGGCGAGGTGGGGCATGAGGTGGGGCACGAGGTGGAGGGCGAGGTGGAGGGCGAGGTGGGGCATGAGGTGGGGCACAAGGTGGAGGGCGAGGTGGGGCACGAGGTGGAGGGCGAGGTGGAGGACGGGGAGGAGGAACATGTCCGGAGGGAAGTTGCTTCTTGTGTGGAAAATGTTGTAGACACTGGAGAAACGACTGCAAATGAAGAAAGCCGCAGGAGGGAACGGAGGACTGGGTGGAGCAGGCATGACTAAAGCTATCTTTAGTGCATCTACAGAATCAGGTCACGTATTATCACACACAAACACAGTCCCTGAACAGATGGAAAGGGTTAACCCGTAGGTCAAACAAAATAAACAACTAAAGAACAGACTAACCCAAAACAAGATAGCCCAAAGCAATATGACCTAAAACAATATGATTCAGACCTTGACAGTGACACAGAAGCAAGTTCTGATAACGTCTCTATCAGCTCATCCGATGAGGAAGTGGAGATTTTAGAATTAGGTACAGTTGAATTAATGCTGGCTCACGTAGAGAAACCATTTGTTACCTTAAAAGTAATGGGAATAGATGTAACCAGATTATGCAAAACCGTTTGTTCAAACAGCAGATTGTCAAAATGGATTTATGACGTCAGTACTCACTCAACCGCATGGGGAGAAAAATAGACCAGTGGCATTTTACTCCTCACAGTTGGATACCATAGCTCGAGCAATGCCCATTTGTTTACAAGCAGTAATAGCAGCCTCCATGGCAGTACAGGCATCTGCAACAATAGTGCTTTAACTCTAAAAGTAACTCACGCAGTGTCCGTACTATTGTTACAAAATAAACAAACCTATATGTCACCAGCTAGACATTTAGCATGCATGGCTACGTTGCTATCACAACCAAATCGTACTATCGACAGATGCACTACTTTAAATCCAGCTACACTACTGCCAGTAGAGATAGATGGGGAACCAAATGACTGTGTCGCAGAAACTGAGAACAGTGTTTCCAAGGAGGACAGACCTGACTGACATTCCCTTCCCTGGTGCAGACATAACAATGTATGTTGACGGTTCATGTAAGAGGAATCTTGATGGAACTTATGCTGTAGTGACGCAGACAAAACTACTCGACTATCATTTATACACACAGCAACTATGCTTATTCATGAATACATGTGTTTGCACAACAATGGAAAAATAGGGGTATGGTAACATCCACGAAAACACCTATTAAACATGAAGATTTGATCCTATCACTTTTTGATGCAGTACAACTCCCCCAAGAGAGTGGCGGTCTGTAAGTGTGCAGCACACACTACAGGGACGGACTCAATTTCCACAGGGAACCGGAAGGCAGATGAAGAGGCTAAGAAAGCAGCGCAAAGACAGTGACAGGACAATGACCAATATATTTCAGAAGATATGCAACACATTGATCATGACATACCAAAAGACATGCAAGCACCTGACAAAGAGAAGGTATACTTGAAGAAGACATTGTGTACACAGAATAAAGAGGGATTGTGGGAGAGTACAGAAGGCAAATGTGTATAGAGAGGCGAAGTCACGCCCATCTCCCAAAATGATGTATTGAAGTCAATGGAGAGAGAAAAATTATCTTTCAATCCCGTTTGAATTGTGCCATGAATTACACATATGATGATTGTCAATCTTAAAAAATAATTTCCATGTCAAAAAAGTCAGTTTGTCTTAAAACTGTTGAAATATAAGACTATGAAAAATACGTAACTAGAAAGACTACAAATCCCAGAGTCACGTACATTAACGTTACACATTACACTCGTGTTACTCACCGAAACCTTGTATAGCCGGTCCCGCATGCTGGCTCTGACGGAACCGACTAACTCCCCTTTTGTGTATGTACAGTTCTCAACATGCCCAGACTTGGAGTGATTTTCACCTCGTTTAATACTT